TCTGCTCGATAGCAATAAAAGAGGACGCGCCAAGAGTCGAGACACACGTCGTCGGGAACGATGAAAGTAACACGTGTTGACGAACGTGAACGAGGATTATGGTCGCCGCTAAGTCAGGCTCGCTGTGTGTGAAATGAATACGAGAAGGGGGGCAGAGAAAAAAAGGAACGGATACCCGTGGATCACGAAACATCGCGGACAAAAGAGGAGTCGTAAAGAACGACCGAGAGGATTTAGTAACAGAGTACAAACGCGCCCGACGATCCGATTCGCGACGTTCGAAGTCTGTGACTCCTTTTCTCTACCACGGACTAATCGGCCGAAGATTTCAATAATTGAATGACTAATCCCGGCGGACACGGTTCTAAATCTGACACTAAATGACGCCCGATGACAGATGTTACCGGAGAGAGAATGGCGATCCGCAAAGTTCTTCGGGAAAAAAAACTCTCCATTCGACTTTTGTCGTATCAATCAATTGGATTCGTGAAGTTGTTGTTATTGAAGTGTGATTCGAATTGAGGGTCTTCTGTTTGAATTTGAATAATGGCTCCGTAATTGGTAAACGAAAAATAAAATGGTAATTTGTTTCTTCTATTATTGATTATGTCGAGTGAATAAGAAATAAAAATTTTGTCTTTGTATTTTTTAAATGTTCCTCGTAATTCAAGAAACAATTGCGATATACAATGAAGCAACCGTTACGTAACTTTGTCGCGTGTATATTCGATTTTCTAGTAGAACAGTGTCACAGTAATATCACTGGATGTGATACTGAAGTTACGCGGACTAAACTCGCGTCAAATTTTCGCAGCAGGAAACAACGCAAATCAAAATTTAAATGCGAAATTTAATTAGATTTATATACCTGCTGTTTCTTACGACGAATATTAGTCTCCGAGTAATGGTAACTCGAGTGAGAGAAATCTGATTTATACCGGGCTCATTTAACCACAGCGAATCCGTGTAACAGAGAATTATTTTGAAAAGCAATAAACACTTTCTAGTGACGGACTTTCCAAATGAATAATGAATGCTGGTTAAACGAACAGCGAAGCGCATTACTATTAGACGTATTTTGTTACAGTTACACAATTAATGAGCGATATCTCGCTGAGAATACACTTCAACACGCTTCAATCCAATTATTTAATATGCTTGATAACATATCTGTGCCACTGAATAATAATTACTTATTAACACGTTGAATGCCGCACGATTTTATAGAGCAAAATATCCGAATCAAGAAAACATAATATTCAATCAATTTGATTGAATTGCATTATTATTATTGCATGTTCATCTAGCTGAATGTCACTGCATTCGACAGCATTATTTATAATATATAAATCTTTTCAAATAATCATAGTTTAATTAAGTAAACTATAGTAATCCGATTCGGTTGGGTCACCGGTGATCCCACGACATTCAACGTGTTTATTAGCAAACCAATAAATGTAAAATATTAATATTGATTTAGAATGAGAAGATCGATCAAATCGAAAGATCAAATTATTCTAATCAAATCAAATCGACTTTCATGTCTATATTGTCGCATTTTAATCATCGCTAACATATTCCTCTCGACACCATTTCCACTTAATCCCCGAACGTCCGAAAATCGGTGTCACGGGTCGCAAGCTAATTAACGCGGGGAAATTGGCCGCAGGGCGGCGAGGTTGTCCCGCAACTGGCCGCAATAAATGCAGTGCGTTAATCTTTTCCTCAAAGAAAAGAAGGACGTAAAGGGGTCGAGTGCGCGTTTCGAGCTCGGTCGGAAGTGCGCTCGTGAGAGGTGGTTGCTCTTTAGCGAGGAGGGCCGAGAGGGTTGCTGAGAATAAGAAGGTCGAGGGACGGGGAACGCCGAGGAAACGGAACGCACCATGTCATCGGGGAAACAGCCCACGGGCGACGAATCTTCTGCCTCTTCTTGTTCTTCTTCTTCTCCTTTTGCTTCTCCTTCCCCTTTTCCTTCTTTTTCCTTTTTACCGCTTTTTCCCTTACTCTTTTTCTTACCGGAAGAGAAAAGAGACAGTCCCGTCGCAAATGAAATCCAAACAGATCAAAAAAGGTCTCGTGACACGGGAAAGACGATACACACCGGCAACTTCGGAACAGCGAGTAACTCTGCGGCACCGGAACTTCCCAAAGAAAAATCTCGCAAGGGAAACACGCGACGGTTCCCGCCATTTTGACGTGCGACGTCCATTTTATACGCGTTAGCTGGAAAGGATGCTCCATCGGGAGCTCTCGTTTCTCTCGCGCCGCTGTATCGAAGGATATTTTCTTTTCGAAGAGGAGGAAAGCGGCGAAAGTTGGCGAAGAATGACTGTCGATGTCCATCGAGTGCCCGATCTGTTTTGAAATATCGCCATTGTGAAAACGGTGAAACATTTGATGAATATTTGTGATTCGAATGCGATCTGAAATCTTCGGTTTCATGAATCGAGAACTCGTTCTTTGAGACTTTCTTTTACGGATTGGACACACTTTTCATTCTATGTGGTCTTCGTTTCAGTGTAATTTAATATGCGGCAACAGTGCACGTCAGTGAGCTGTGAGTGCGAAAACTTTGTTGAACAGAACCTTATATATTGATTACTAAGAAAGTAATCTCAATTTTTGTGTAAGATATTGCATTATTTTCCATTGAGATTTGATTGAAAAGTAAAAATATCACACGACAATAGATTATATCATTGCATTAAACAAAACAATAACAAATTGAAGATTCCTCTTGTACATCTACGAAATCAACATTGCACTAGCAACAATCTAACATTTTGGTAACACACAAAAAGTACATCTATCTTAAAAGAAATGAAATTTACACCGCGTGTTTTTAGGCTTTTCATTGATCGTTCGCTTGGAAACTAAAATATGTTGCTCGGATAATAACACAATTCGATCTGTCAACGCGATTATAGAGACCAGTAGATATTATTCAGCAACAGTTTCACTGGTTTGCAATAGTTCGCATCTCTGTTGTGCTCGTTAACGTCAATATACGGTGGGAATAGTGAAGCCACTATAAGGAAGTCAATAAAGCGCGGCTGTAAACAGAGAATAATGTATTGCAATACGCTGTGTCTAGAAACACGTTCCGTCACACTGTCTTAACACGTTCGGAACGGCAGCGAAATTCACGATATGCTCTCCCTGCTCACGACGTTTGTTATAACCAGACTGCGGAAATTTATGGAAATTTATACTTTCATAGTGAAATTGAAAGAAACCGGAATTGAATAAAATTTCTTTTCGTTCGGGAACATTTCCAGTAAATCAAAAGTGAAATAGAACAGTCTTAAAATTTTATCTAACTCGTATTTTACACATTTTAAAATTATTTACACGCTATAAACGCAGAAAGTTTCAGAGGCGAGTTATAGCTGCGCTGACCACACGTTTGTATAGTTTTTTGCAATAGACAGCTTTTCTACGATTACTTTCTTATGGTTACATTAATACTAAATTCTTCGGTTTCTAATCCCTTCACCCGTTCAATAACTACATATTTTTCCATACAATGAAAATATTAAATCATGTAGTAACCAAATATTTATATTATATAGTATTAACAGGATTATCTGTCGTTACATATGAACAGTGAATAATCGATAGTTCACGCCAGCAACAGTAGACAACCTTCCTACAATTACCATAATACTCAATTCTTTAATTTCCAATCTGTTCAACCGTTTAATCTATATTAATATTTTCGTATTAAAAAAGGCACTAACACAATAACCAATTATTTTATATTACTCATTATTAACGCCATTAATCGCCGTCAAACGCGACGGGGTGAACAACCAATAGTTCACTCCAATAACAGTAAAGGAACTTTCTATAATTACTATTAATAGTCAATCCTTTAATTTCCAATGTCTTCAACCGTTTAATGCATATTAATATTTTCATATTAACGAAGAAAATAACACGATAACCACTTATTTTATATTACTCATTATTAACGCTATTAATCACCGTCAAACGCGACGGGGTGAACAATCGATAGTTCACTCCAGGCACACGCGTCGCAGTATCCGCTTCTCGCAAAAATGACCGGCAATGAGCGTCGCTCGCGTGAGCGACAGCTGAACCTCCTACCAATGATGACTCCTTTCATTTCAGCTACGTTTGCATGCGGTAGACCGTTTAAGAGGCGCACGAAGAACTGATGAAGACAGATCATACGTCGAATGTTTTTGCACAGCAGCCGCACAACCGCAGTGACTCACGCATTCCGTCACATACCTACGGAACGACAACCGACATAGAAAAACAGTTTCACAATTTCAATTTGTTTATCCCTGCTCGGCCGTACTTTCACCATCCCCGGCGTGATCGATTTTTCACCATTCATAATAGAACAACTCGCTCTCGGTTCTCCCCGCAATTTGGCCAAGTAAATTTGAAAGTCCACCGTGAACGAATTCATGAGTCACTACGCTGTACGCTTGCTCCGTTTCCCGTTCGATCGCGCTCACTCGTTCGAAGCGTCGATGTAATTGCAGGGAACCGAGAATGAAATTTGACATAGCCACAACTAAAAACACTTCGCCCCGAGGATCGCTTTTCTGTAAGAATACCGTGTCTGTTACACAATTCTGAAATTTCCTTGTCCTTTTTCTCTTCTATTCATTTATTCTTTAATCAATCTGTATATACGAACTTCGTTGAACACGCTCTACCTTAGCAGTTAAATGTTTGCTCCAAATTAATTAATTCAGACACATTTTGGATCGTCGAAGCTGAAAATTGCAAGCCCTTTCACAAGGAAACGATTCTAATTAGAAACTAATCCTAAATATATACGATTCTAATCAGACCCTATGAAAATTAAAACGTGGGTTACGAAAGAGTCATCGGGAAAATATAATTCAATCTCAATTCAACTGATCGGTGAATTCTCATCTATTCTCATCTAGAGATCGAGAAATTTTATATGTGTTTCGGAGATTTTAAATATCCCGCAAATGCTACTTTCAGATACTAACCTTTGGTAGTTGCAGAATTAGATTCATTTTTTTGAAAAAACATCACGGCCGTCTGCATCAGCGAAAATGTCAGCGGAACAACAAATCCGAATCAAGCATTTTATTGTCCGGATGCTAAGTATATACTAGAGACGTTTCGTTCGATAATCGAGCATGACCGAGCGTGTATATACACAAGGCCGCTTCATCGAATCGAACGATATCGCGGTCACTGATCGGAACGCGCGATCCGCCAGCGTACGTTAAAATTAATCACGATGAATTTTCTTTTACTCATGACCGCCGCCACTCGGCGAGTCTTGATTCGGAAGAGATAGGGCGTGGGCTGCTTTACGCTCTTTTTCTTCCCGTAAGGATCGAGATACCACCGGACAAAGCGCCGTTTCACGAGATCATCTCCACCTCCCTTTAACCCTTTGCGGACGAAGATTCTTTAAAGTATACAAAACTTTCAGCAGATGAAGCTAAATTGTATATCAAACGCTTAAATAATAGAAACAAAGGAACCTATGAACTGATCTCTTGCTGTTCGAGTAATTCAATCAGTTGTTTGCAGCTGTGTAAAGTACACTGAGTACAATTGAATCACGAAAGAAAGATTTAACTTGTTAACTGTGAAATTTAATTTGAAAAATCTCTGATAACGCTCCCAATGAAAAGCTAAAGCAAAACGAAGAAGAGTTACATGTTTATCTGAAAAAATAAATAATATATTGTTGAAAGAATTAGCATCATTTAGATTTTAAAATGATGTGTATACTCGTCAAGTGCAGTTAACTGGTTAAGAATCCTTCTTCGCTTCTTACTATTAATTTTTCAGTACTCTTATTCTCTTATTGTCAAAGAGAAGGCGATCCGACTTGTCTCGGCCTATCTTATTCCAAATTTAAAAATTTTATCTCGTTAAAACGTCGACATTCGTCAACAAAGGTTTAATTCGTGCGTCGTTCATATTTTCTTTCGAGGTACGATGAATCACGTCGCCGTCATCGACGATCGACGACGACGATCGCGCGCGTCGTCGATCAACCCGTTCGAAACCCGGGTAGAAGGAGCGGTGACGAAGTCAACGAACTTTCGGAAGCAATTTTCGAAACGCGCAAGAAAGGGAAGAAGCTGCGTTGGCCTCGAAGCCCTCAATTATAACGTAATTGAAGGTTTCGACCCCGGGACTCGGGCCCCCCGATTCCCTCGATAGAAGAAAGGAGACAAACACGCGATCTATCGCGTCCTTCTCCGCGGCCGCCATGAATTACACCCTAATCGGAGTAGCTCCGTAATCTCGTGCGCCATTAACTTTCAACTTTCTGCGCCGAAAAACCCCTCGACCGGTGAAACCTGGAAGAAAGCTGCAACGTTTCCCGCCGGCGAACAGAACACGTACAGGAGCTTTCTCGGGAAAAATCGGATCGATCCAACGGCGAAAAACGCGAATTACTCTCTTGATTCGCTTGTCGGCTTAATTGTTCCACGGATGAAGGTAATGGTGAGAAATGCTGTTGCGGCAACGAGTGAAAATGATAAATTTGTCTAACGATCTGTAGGTAGGTGAATATAGAGATAGATAAATAGATCGCAGAATAAAGACGCTTCGCTACGAAGCTAAAAAACCAACTAAATTACAACATTGTATAAAAACCAGAATAACAATGGCGCAAACAACGAATGGTATAAATCAATGAGAAGAATAGAAGAAGTTAGAATAAACGTAAACCTATTCCAAGCTTCCTGGTTATGAGTTTGAAGTATAGACCATTCAACGACCCACTGATACTTTTCATTAATACATAAATTATCTTTTAAGTACATATAATATGTTTCTAGCGGTGACCACCGCAAAAATCCTAAAAGGAATCAACGAAAAAAGGGATATCCAATGGTATACCATCCAAGCGCAAAACAAGTCATCCAATCTTCCTCGGTTAACGGGTCCAAGTTGCAGCGCAGCCTCGAACGAACGGCTCCCACTAAATAATAATTTCCCATTTACGTTATCGCGGCGAACGAGACGGCCCACGTAACAGTACTGTTCAACGTTACGATCCGAACCGTCAGTTTTATTCATCGTGTGGCATGCGCGAACGCGCGCGCGCGCGCGTGCTCTCGCTCGCTCGTTAATACGGAGCAAAGGTGAATCGCATAGACAGCCGGCTCGTTCCCCCGGCGATAAGTCAGAGTGCAAGGGGTTAAACATCGCGCGGCACATAGATGCAATTTCGTTAAAAGAACAATGATTTCCGCGGCGTGCGCACTCGCGCGCCCGCACTCGACATTATCGAGGACGTCCCATCGGTGATCAACCGGGGACCGTGGCGCGGCGCGGCGCGCCTCGGGATAGCGTCTTAGGGTCAATTCCCGAGATAATAAATCAGTACACGCGTTAAGACGATAAATCACCAGGTTCCGCGCCGCTGCCTCTCCGCTCGTCCTCGCCTTGTGTTCACCAATCTAGTCGTATTTAGCTACAATGCCACGGAATGATTTGTGGCGCTACAGCTGCGCCAAGCGAGCTTGAGAACGCCAGTGCGCGTGCGTGCGAGGGTGGGGGAAATGTAGGCGGGACTGTTCCTTCCCACCATTGTGAAGAAGACACGCTATTGGTAGACAATGAATTTTGGAGCGTTCTAAGGATTTTATTGGCTGATTTGTGAAAAGAGATATAGCATAAAAATTTGTTGTTTTGGTAAATTATTTTATTAGGTATAGGTATAAAGTATTTTAATACTATTTTGTTGTTTTAATATGGTTAAATAGTAATTAAACATTGATAAATTAGTTACATGTATTATTAATAATTCGATGTTTGTTTCTATAGATACTACAGATACTATAGATCTGTAGATACTATAAATACTACATTTGTTTCTATAGACTTCATAACGGAAATTCTTGGTTTAAAAGTATATACTTTCACCAGCCAGAATATGTCATAACCGAAGTTTCTTTTCCGAGTGTAATTGCAGAAAAGGCAGCATAAATTTAATTCATTGGCTCGAGAAATTTATATCGGAGTTTGGAAAAAGACAACAACTATCTTATCGCGAAATGGTAACAGCCCCTGTTACTTCCTGTCTGGCGGAAAATTATATTGCCCTCACCAACGAGAATTCCTATTAGATAATGTACGTCGACCGACAGATACATAATCTACTTTACCACCGCGAGAAACCGTTCGGAGATGGAACAGAAAACTTTTTCTTGGCATAGTTTTCCGTGGAGTTCGGTACGTGCTCTTCCATTTTGCGGCCGGAACCGAACACTCCGCAAAAGAGTCTGCTCGAGATATCGGGATACACGCGGTAACTGTGCCAACTCGCGTCCGACTTGATCAATGAAATTCGCGTAAAGATTCGCTGCACAAAATACTCGGCTTATCAGCGGGGCAAGATGTACGCTGCAGATCAGTGAACTTATCTCTGATTACCGCCAACAGAATCAATCATTAGTCTACGAACTCTATGCATTCGTACTTACTGCCTACACATTCTTACAGTTTAGTTTCTATTTGTCTTCGTAAATAATGAACAATTTGTTCTTCAAAGCATCAAAAAGTAAATCCACGTATAGTTAAAATCTTCACCATATTCACTACTGTAACATTTTTCTGTTACTATTTTTTTATTGCATCACTACGTAAAATGTATCTATTCCATCTACACAATTTACCCTTCTCACCGGAAACTTACAACATTTTTCGATTAGATATAAACGACACTCTTCGAAACTAACTAACGAAATATATAAATTAAGAAAGAAAGCTGTTTTATTTCAATATTCCACATACCGATACACGCACAAAGCTTAATATAATATTATACAGTAACATAAGACTTTATCATTTTCCTACATCAAATCAAGTGGTGACTAACAATCGCCTCTCGAGCGAAGGGTTAATATTCAATATATTATACCAACAAAGATCAATGGTTCGATGAAGCACCTCAGTATCGGCCGGACGCAGGCCCGAGCGATCCCGTAGCGCCGAAACCGCAGAACAGGGAAGAAGAATGCTCATTAAATCGAATTACCCAAAGTTTGATCATTAGGAGAAGCCCCAAAGATGGTTCCCGATACAACGGGAAGGAATCTGCGGTTTCCACGGCTCGGAG